AACAAATCGGTCTGAAGTGCAGTCAGAATGCTCCTTAGAAGGGAGGAGGGCAAGACTTTGCCTCATGTACATGTCATCTGGAGGGACTAGTCCATGGAGAAGCTCGTCATTCTTGGTAAGGCAGAGGATCTGTGAAAAAGAGGAAGCCTCTAAATGAGATGGATTGATAACAGCAGCTGCAACAACAGGCCGAAACATAATAATGATCTTGAGGATGGCACAGGTCAGGCAGTGCCTTGTTCCATTGTACATAGGGTTGACTATAAGTTAGAACCTACTCCATGCCACGTGACAAGAACAACAACAACAATAACAGTACCTGACAACAACAGGAATCACCAAACAGTAGCAGGGCAGTGACTGGTCTCGTGATGGCTATTTGTAAAAGCTGTTTCTGTGCAAAATTGCAATTTTAATTACCTATATATATACTCGTGTATAAGCCGAGTTTTTTAGCACATTTTTCCTGCAGTTTTTGTGGTAAAATTAGGTGCCTTGGCTGATATTCGGGTCAGCTTATACTCGAGTATATATGGTACATAAACATATTATGAACAGGGAATTTTACTTGTTACTCACTTACTCTTACAAGAGGGTAGATGTTACTTTGAAGTGTTGATGGGGAGCATATATTTGATATGTTGTGTTAGTCTGGGTAGACTAGAGAAACAAATTCAGAGACATTCATATGTGTCTAAGAGTTTTATATAAAAGAGCTATTGTATATTGAGAAAACATCCCAGCCCAGTCCAGATCAAGTCCATAAGTCTGATATTAGCCCATACGTCTGATATCAATCTATAAATTCCTCTTCAGACTCATTCAGCACATGCAATGAAGGCAGGAAGACCATAGGCCAATGGGTGGATAGTCTTGTGGATCCAGTGGCGGTGGAAGCATCTCAACAGTGGCTTCGGTCTCCACATGGCTCCTCCAGCTCCAGGGCTCTGGCTCCATCAGAGTAGCTCCATGTGATTTGTCAACAGGAATGTGTAGCAAAGAGTGTGGGTCCGGCCTCCAGTGAGCTATTTATCTCTGTAGCACCTCCAAATAAGGTCATTAACCTGTGACCTGATTGAGAGGCTAACCTCCACCCCTTCACTCTTAATAGTCTCCAGTTGATACCAGATTATGTAACTACAACATATGTTATACTTGTTTGCTCCTGTTAGCCTAACCTTAGTTTCTGGTTTTTAAGCATCGAAGTTCAGGGGAAGTCATGGAAGTGGACATAGGAGGAGAGCCAGCAGAAGAGGAAGACAGGTTTTAAGACTCATTTTTCCTTCATGGTATTTTAGTCCATATCTGTCTACCCTCACTCTGCCCTATCCCATATCCACCTAACACATCCGAGACCACAATTTCCATGATAACTTCTAATAGTAGTTTATTGATTGTGCTGCTTATTTAGCTTTTCCATGCATCTGTAAGATACCATTTCAGAATTATTGCCTTGAGAGTTTATGTAACTGAACAACAGATCTAATTATTGAGTTATACTTTAAGCATTGGTACAAGACTGTGCTCTTTTAGAGCTTGTGTTCTATTGGAGCAGGTTGTGTGCTGTTGAATTGATTCTGACATATATCAACCCTAGGAGTCTTGGTAGCACTGCCAGGTAAGTGTTGGATTGTTGATGGTTCAAACCCACCAGCCATCCTATGGGAGAAAGGTGAGTCTCTCTACTCCAGTAAACATTTTATAGGGCTGCTATAAGTCAGAATCAACTCAACGGCAGTGGTTATCAAACCCTCTGTGATAAAGAAGTACCCTATACAGGGTCTTGTAAGTTGTAATCTTTATGGTAGCAAATATTCAAATATTTTTCTCCCAGAGTGCTTGGTGTGTTTGAACTGCTAACAGCTTAGCTCTTGTGCCAGCAGGGTGCCTTAGTGGAACATACAGATAAGTACATAATAAAATTTTTCTTCATAAGTGCTTGAAGTATTGGGCTGTACAAATACGGTGGTCATTCCCTGAAGAATGACAGTGAACCAGAAACCTGGATGTTGTGAAAAATTCAGAGGGCAACAGAAGGCGCAGCAAGCTCACAAAAGGCCCTGCATGCAGCATGTTGGAGAACTAGAAAGGTTCATGTGGTCGGGGCCGTGAGGCGGAGAATGGGAGAATGGTTTTGTTTTATACGAATTCACGGAGAATGGAGAATGTAAACAAGTAAACATTTATTCGGAAAACTTCAGAGATAATTTCTTTGGGAAATTACTCATAATTTTTGTGTGTGTAGTGGGGGAGGGTGGCTTAGAAACTTGAAGCCCAAGGTGGAACGAAGCTGCGAGGTAAATATTTGTGAGTAAAGACACAGACCATGTATGAATTTATTTTGGAATGTTTTAACTGGCCAATTGAACATAAATTGAATCAAGACTGAAAGGCGAAGCTACAGCTCTCAGAAGTTTTTTGAAATGGCAAACAGCTGCAAAGGGTTGCAAATAGTTCTAGAATGGGAACCCTGGGAACAGTACTGAAGCAGAAATCGAAGTCGGAGTAGTCTTCCCAATAACTAAAAATGTAGTATTAGTCTAAGTGTAAAGATTATATTTATGTGTGATAACATTTTTGAAAGGTAACAAGTCAATCATCATGCTTACAAATAAACTATGTTAAGGCTTTTTACTATGAGAATTTTCAGTATCTAAACAGTCATAAGCATGAGATAATTTATAATAATGTAAATATAGAGCATGTAGAGAATAGAAATTTAATCTATCTACTGATAAAATATGCCTTCTTAAAATCTACTTTAAAATTATTGGTAAAACTATGGCTAAATTTTACCTTATATATGAGGAGACCTCAAAGAGCTCATGGAAAAATCCCATTATCTTTTAATTCTATATTTAAAACAGCACTTTTGCACAGGAGATATGAGTCTGAAGAGTTTATAGAATAAAAGGAACAATAATAACATATTTTATGTTAATAAAATAAAAGGAAAAATAATAACAACATAAATATTTTACTGAAGGACATAGATTTGGAAAGCACATTATTCTTGAATAGGGATAGGATCAATATTTTAACTCTTTGATGACCAAACTATTTTCAGGTTTTTAATTTAAAAAAAACTTAAAACTTTCTATTGAGAGTTTGCTGGGGATTTACAGATCATATCATCATTTTTACACTTAATGATTTAGAACTTTGAATTTTTTTATTCGCACCATGTGTTTTCAATAGTGAAAGGCATGTTGAAATCGAGGAAAACAATTTGAAGTAGTGTCTTTTATAATTCTGTGGGACAGTATGTCACAAATGAACTCTGATGGTAGGATTGGCAGTGTGAGGCCTGTTTTCTCAGTTTCACAGTTATGCAGATCTACAGCTGGGATAACAGCTTCTCAGGCAACCTGAGGCTAAAAATTTTAATAAATAATATTATTTATAATAATATAAATTCAGATTCCGACTCATTGTAGAACTGCCCTTTGGGTTTCTGAGACTTTAAAACAGTATTGGAACAGACGGCCTCATTTTTCTCCTGTGGAGTAGCTGGTGAATTTGAACCTCTGGCCTTCCAGTTAGCAGCTGTCCGATGTGTAGTGTAACTCACTGTATGACCAACTCCCTGTCCCCTCAAAAGAAACCCCCTCCCACACCAAAACTACCCCCAAACCTCATGTCATTAAGTTGATTCCAACTCATAGTGACCCTATAGGACAAGGAGTCTCCTTTACTGGAGCAGAAAACTTGGTCTTTCTCCTGAGCAGGGCCTAGAGATTTCGAACTGTTGACCAACAGTGAAACCCCCAGGCCCCCACTGTACCATCAGAGCTCTTTAAATAGGTTCGGTGGGTGATATATGTCCCATAGGCCACAAAAGGGTTAAAAATACCAGTTTTTCTCCAAATTAATTTAAACCAAATTTTTATTGTTATTAAAACCATTTATATACATAAGTGAATATGAGTAATTAAAAAAATGGAATGTTATAAACAAAACCAGCTCTGTATTGAAAGGGATGGCACCATACTCATAGATTCAGGCTCTCACGAGAAAGTAAGGTGAACAGACTTTCTGGGTCATTGGCTTTAGCTGCACTGAGAATCACAACTCTTTTCTGAGAATGTCCGTGGTCAAGTCCAGGAGTTAGCTCTGGGAAACAAGGTTTACCAAAGTTTAGTATCTGGCAGGGCTGTAATCTGGTTTATAGACTAGACGTCTGGAAGGAATCTGGTCAGAAGGAAGGGCTGCCTTGTGTGTCTTTTTTTCTCTCCTAAGGTCCCCACAGCACACTCAGGAGTAGGCACATCTGTAGGATGAAATGACCTAGGTGAAGGGTAGAGCTGTAATTTACCATGACAGACTCACTCGGACATTGCCAGGCTTACAACATGGCACAACAGAAGGCAACAGCTTGGTGACAGTCTCCTGAGCTCCTCTGCTTGTGTGGACTGGTTCCCTCCATCTCTCATGCACAACGATTTATTTAACCACCATCTTTTATTTTTCCTATGTTGAATCTGTTTTCTGCGGTCTGTTTTCATATTTTCTATATGTAAAAGATGTCAGATAACTTCAGTTACAAAAGAATAAAGGAACCAAGAAATTGGCGTAAGCTTCCAAATAACCTGCAAACATGAAAATAATTCCTTGACTCTTGAGATAAAATATAATTTAAAAATATTAATAGACAAAAGACAATGGATGAAGTTTTAACATTTTGAAGGAATGATAATATCTGTTTGAACATATGGACATTTCTATATATTGCTGTTGGGAATATAAGCTGGCACCTTCCTTTAAGAGAACATGTTGGCAGTATATGTGAACTAAAGAAGCATGTATCCTTTTAATTGAATTTCTAAGAAGTTTTTCAGAGTTTTTTTTTTTGACTTGGGTATATTTTAGTAATTTTCATTTTGCCTTAGAGAGTTTCTCTTACTTTAAAGATTTAATAAAATAATGAATAAGGCAGTAAGGTATTCAGTAATAGTTCATTTATATTACCCTATTCCAAAAATATTTCTTTTTAATTTCAGTCCTACAAGATTATCAATTTTGCCCCCAGTTTACTTCGGATTATAGTCTCTGACCATGTGGAATTCCCTGTACGCCAGGCAGGTGAGTTGGGTTTTTAAAGAAAAAAAAATTCTTTATAGATTTATTTACAGATAAAAGAAGGATAAGAACTTTATTTTAAATATCTGTGATTTTTTTTGTGTGTGTGGAAAAACTAGGGACAATGTATATTGTTTTTCTAATTGCTTAAGAGTTCACTCCGCCCGTGCCCCCTCCCCCCTCCCCCAATTTAGGTAGTCCTTGTATTCTCAGATATCCCCTAGCTTTTTCTCTCTTCTCCATTTCCCCCATCAATTCCTTGCCTCTAACTTTGGGACTGTTTTCCTAATTTTAATAGCGTAATCCCCCTAATTTCCTATGATTGTTGGTAGCCTGTTGTTGCTAGGTGCCATCAAGTTGATACTGACCCATACTGACCCCGATGCACAACAGAAGGAAACATTGCCGACTGCTTTGTCATCCTCACAATTGTGTCTCTGCTTGAGCCCATTGTTCCAGCCACAATTTACAGTCTGTAGAAGAATCCGCAACATTCAGTTAATGCTATCCAAAAACCTGTGGAAAATTCCAAAAGGTTTTTCCTGAGCTGGGGTATAAGGCAAAATTATGATTGATGTATCATACCCACTCAGTTGTCTTCAGCGATCCTGACCTTTGGTAATCAGCTGAGCTTTTGTTCCCAATGAGGCCAAATGACTGGGCCTGTCTTGCCCAGGTGTTGCCACTCTGGAGGCTTCTCCTTTGGTGCTAGCGTGGCAGTGAGGGTGATAGTTGTGTGAGAAATGACGAGGTGAATACTTTTAAACAGATCAATGCAATAAATTTCCCTGGCTCATGTACTCTATAGTCTAATTTGCAGCAAGCCTCAGGGGTGAACTCTAGGACTATTTAGATAGGGGTCTCCCCTTTTTTAAATTTAAATAATTTTATTGGGGGCTCGTATAACTCATCAGAATTCACATATCCATCCATTGTGTCAAGCACATGTATGTTTGTTGCCATCATCATTTTCAAAACATGTTCTTTCTACTTGAGCCCTTGGTATCAGCTCCTCATTTTTCCTCCCTCCCTCCCTCCCTCCCTCATTAACCCTTGATAATTTATAAATCATAATTTTTTCATGTCTTAACACTGATGTCTTCCTTCACCCACTTTTCTGTTGTCCATCCCCCTGGGAGAGGGTTACAGGTAGATCATTGTGATCGGTTTCCCCTTTCTCTGCCTACTTTCCCCTTCCCCTCCTGACATTGCTACTCTCAATATTGGTCCTGAGGAGTTTGTCTGTCCTGGATTCCCTGTGTTTCCAGCTCTGATCTGTACCAGTGTACATGCTCTGGTCCATCCAGATTTGTAAGGTAGAATTGGGGTCACGAGAGTTGGGGAGAGGAAGCATTAAAGAACTAGAGGAAAGTTGTGTGTTTCATTGGTGCTATACTGCACCCTGACTGGCTCTTCTATTCCTTGTAACCCTTTTGGAAGGGGATGTTCAATTGCCTGTCTCCACTCCGCACTCCTCCTCATTCACAATGATACGGTCTTTTCTTCTGGGTCTTTGATATCTGATACCTGATCCTATGGACACCCTTTGATCACACAGGCTGGGGCGTTTCTTCCTTTTTTTTTAAATCGTTTTATTAGGGGCTCATACAACTCTTATCACAATCCATACATACATCAATTGTGTAAAGTACATTTGTACATTCATTGCCCTCATCATTCTCAAAACATTTGCTCTCCATCTGGGGTGTTTCTTCCATGTGGGCTTTGCTACTTCTGAGCAAGATGGCCGCTTGTTTATCTTCCAGCCTTTAAGACCCCAGACGCTATATCTTTTGATAGTTGGGCACTATCAGCTTTCTTCACATTTGCTTATGCACCTGCTTTGTCTTCAGCATCGTGTCGGGAAGGTGAGCATCACTGAATGCCAGGTTAATAGAACAAACCGTTCTTGCATTGAGGGAGTATTTGAGTGGAGGCCCAATGTCCATCTACTACCTTAATACTAAACCTATAAACATATACATATAGATCTATTTCCCCATCATCATATATAAATATATTTACATATGTACCCGCCTGTATTTAGACCTCTATAAATGCCCTTTGCTTCTTAGTTCTTTCCTCTATTTCCTTTTACTTTCCTCTATTTCCTTTTACTTTCCTCATGCCCCACTATCATGTTCAGCCTTCATTGGGGTTTCAGTAATTCCTCTTGGTTACATTGCCCTTGATCAAGCCCTACCAAGCCTTCTACACCCTGCTTGCCATCAATTTTAGATCACTTGTTATTCCCCTGTCCCTGGATTTGTTAGCACCCACTCCTTTCCTCTGCCTCCCCCTCTCCAATGTCCCCCTGGAACCATTGGTCTCATTTTCTCCTCCAGATTGTTTATCTCGCCCATCTTTAGATAGACCTGCAGAGATAATATGCAAAAAAACAAGACAGAGCAAAAACAAAGCAACAAAAGAAAACAAAAAATGACCAAAAAAAAGAAAATCCTGGAAATAGTTCAAGGTCTGTTTGTTGACCTTTAGGAGTTTTTTTCTGGTTGAATCTAATGGGGTGCCACATTCTGGCTCCAAAGTCTATTTTTGGTATTCCCTGGGGACTTCCTTGCTCTGCTCCCCTTGCTGTTCTGTTGCACGCCCTTAGTGTTTTGTCTCGGTGTGATGGGGTCAGATTGGGTACATTTACCTCACTGTGTCCCCAGTGTTGTCCCCCGTAGCGCTATGGGTCAGTGAAGGACGTCGTGTCTTGTAGTGGGGCCCGGCCCTATGGTCCTGTTTGTGTATGGGTCCCGATTTACTGTGTCAGAAACAAGTGTTTTTGAGCTCTTCTGTGGGGATTCCCCAGCAAGAGTCTTATCCAATTTATATCTCCTAGTAGCTTTTGAAAATTATTTAATGTTTTTAGATGGTTTTCTCTCTAATTCCAAGTTTTTGTGGTGTAATAGTCATCTGATCTACTATTGTCCCTAGAGATGTATAAGGGCTGGTTGTCTGAATTTTATCAGGAGCAAATACTACTCCTGTCTGAGAGATAGTCTCTCTGGTATGAATATAAGCTTGTTGCATTTCACTATTAGGTGCTGCTCCTGTGATACTATCCATGTAGTGGATGATGTATGCTTTGGAAAAAACCTCTGTGACTGGTTCTAGAACCTTACCTATAAAAACTTACACATTGTGGCACTTTTCATCATGCCCTGAGCTAAGTTTCTCTTTTGAAATCTTCATTGGGGCCCTATTGTCTAACTTGGGGACGATGAAAGCGAATTTATCACGGTCAGCAGGATCTAAGTGGAGAGTGTAAAAACAGTCTTTCAAATGTATGACTATTAAGGACCACCCTCTTGGGATCAAACTAGGGAAGGGTAGGCCTGATTGAAGGGTCCCCAACAGCTTTATAATTGAATTCATGGCTCTAAAATCTATGAGCACACACCAGTTACCAGATTTCTCCTTAATTACAAATACGGGAATCTCAAGAGTGAGCGTTTCTTCAGTAAGACATTATCCTGGCAGCTCTTGAACTCACGCATGCAAAGCCACTGGTCCACCCCTTTCAGGCCCTTGGACTTCCAGGACAGTTTAATGGGTGTAGGCCTTAAGACAGTAGTCCTGATTAAAAGATGTACGTTTTTAAATTCTTAACAGTTACAATTGATGAGGATCTCCTTGTTCATTTCTTTTTCCCGAGGCCTCCCCCTTTAGATCCTGTTTTCCTTATGTTGAAATCAGGGGTAGTGAGTGTAAAAACAAGCTTAATTGAACCTGACTTTCAGGCTCTGTACTCTGTTGGATTTTATGACTCTGACATATTTTTTCCTGGTTGACTTCTCCTATCTCCTCTATATTGAAATCAGGAGGCCATGATGAAATTTTCCTGTTTCCCCGAAAATAAGACTGTCTTATATTAATTTTTGCTCCCAAACATGCGCTAGGTCTTCTCTTCAGGGGATGTCTTATTTTTCCATGAAGAAGAATACGGTACACATTTATTGTTGAACAACAAAAAAGGAAATTTATTACCTGTATACGGTACGGTAGTAGTAGTCATCACAAATCAGCATAACCAGACAAACTGTGAATCCTACAGTATCAAGAATTGCTTGTTACTACCATTATTTCCATGTGCAACAATCTATGGTACATTTACTCATTTATTGAGTGACTGTCATCATCATCTTCTGGAACCTCATCATAATAATCCAAACCCTTATTTTCGGGGAGGTCTTATTTTCGGGGGGATGCCTTCCTTATCTTTCAGCGAGAGGCAAAACTGTGAGTAGGTCTTACTTTCGGGGGAAAATGGCCTTGGGCCATTGTAGATGGTTCATGACAGTTTAGCCCTTGAGTCTAAACATCCAGAAAATTCCTTCAATTACTAATTCCATGTGGGGACGCTTCTGCTTGACCATAGCAGCATCCCAGAATACTCCATGACCTATGAAGTCAGATTCCTCAGAAGCTGTTTCCCACGTGGTGTCTGTTTTACCGATTGCGGAATATCCCTTTTTTTATAAACCAGGAAATTTCTGTTTTAATTACAGTTTTAATTTCCCCTTCATAATTTTGATTAAAAACTCCAGCAACAATTTGAATACCTTGAGTATTTTGGCTAAATTACCCTTTTGACCCTTTTCTTTGCTAGGTAAGTTTACAGCATCACAGACTGTGCTCTGGTTCCATACCAAGCCTGTGCCGCAGGGTATTGCTGGCACTCCTTTTGAGAATGTCTGGTATTTCTACAACAGAACATTCTCTCTCAAGATTGCTTTCTGAATTTTCATGTGCTGCTACTTCTCTCCACACGGGTGCTTTGCAACGTGCGTAATAGCCTCACATTTGTTTTTAGAAATGAATTCCTCTCAAATGCATTATCGCTGCTGGGTCTTTGGAGGCTGAAGTCCCCCTGGGACTTAAAGGAGTTGGTCATGAGGCTTTGTTTAGAAGTGGAGGCCTTAGATAATAAACCACTCCCTGCTTCTTAATTTGTTTTTAAAGTTTTTCACCTAATTCATACTCACTCAAAGAGACGT